CTTGTTTTTGCTGACTGTATATAGCTTCTCCATCTTTGGCTGCAGAGAATATAATCAATCTGATTTCGATATTGCCCATCTGGTGATTTCCATGTATAGAGTCGCCTCTTGTGTTGTTGGAAAAGAGTGTTTGTGATGACCAGCTTATTCTCTTGACAAAACTCTATTAGCCTTTGTCCTGCTTCGTTCTGAACTCCAAGGCCAAACTTCCTGTTGTTCCTTTTTTTTCTTTGGTTCCTACTTTAGCATTCCAGTCCCCTAGAATGAGAAGAACATCTTTCTTTGGTGTCAGTTCTAGAAGGTGTTGTAAATCTTCATAGAATTGTTCAATTTCAGTCTCCTCAGCACTGGTGATTAGTACATAAACTTGGATTATTGTGATGTTGAAAGGTCTGCCTTGGATTCGTATTGACATCATTCTATCATTTTTGAGATTGTATCCTATTACAGCTTTTCCCACTCTTTTGTTGACTATGAGGGCTACTCCATTCCTTCTACGGGATTCTTGCCCACAATAGTAGATATGATAATCATCTGAGCTGAATTCACCCATTCCCATCCATATTAGTTCACTGATGCCCAGGATATCGATGTTTATTCTTGCCATCTCCTGTTTGACTACCTCCAGCTTACCAAGGTTCATAGATCTTACATTCCAGGTTCCTATGGAGTATTTTTCTTTCCAGCATCGGACTTTCCTTTCACTTCCAGTCACGTCCACAGCTGAGCGTCCTTTTGGCTTTGGCCCAACCACTTCATTAGCTCTGGAGCTACTTGTTCTTGTCCGCGGCTCTTCCTCAGTAGTATGTTGGATGCCTTTTGACCTGACGGGCCCATCTTCCAGCGTCATATCTTTTAGACTTTTGTTTCTGATCAAGGGGCATTCTTGGCAAAGATATTGGAGTGGCTTGCCATTTCCTACCCCAGGTGGATTGCGTTTAGTCAGAACTCTCCACTATGACCTGTCCGTCTTGGGTGGCCCTGCATGGCATAGCCCATAGCTTCTCTGAGTTACTCAAACCCCTTCGCCACGACAAGGCAGCAATCCATGAAGGGGATCAAGATGCCACTTGTTGCTTTTTATCAATTACCTTCTCACAGAAATTTATAGAGGAAGTTGTATGTTATTGATCTTGTTTCAATCCCCCAGCAGCATTTGTTGCAATTGATCACAAGGCACTGGTGACAGAAGACTTGATTCATATTTATGGAAACACTCCTAGTTGCTCTTGTTCTTTCTAGCTTAAAAAAAATTTATTCAAAGGTTATAACAGGCGTTTCCATATGGGTTTCTCTGCACTTTGATTTTGGGTACCGAAGCATGCTCCATGTTGCTGATTGTTCCTTTGTTTGCCTTCCAGTCGATCTCAGCTTATGCTGACCCTTTCCAGGGTTTTCCAGAAGTGCTTTACCTCTCCCTTCTTTTAGGGCTACCCTGGAACATGCCCCTGGCTACACACCCTGTCTCTTTTCCCAGGCATTACCATGGCAAATGGAAGTGCCAACCTCTTGCTTCGCAGCTAGACAATCACGTTTAAAGGCAGGAAAAGGCTATTTCTGAGGAAAATGTATGCGACATAGGAACAGCCCTGATGGGTTCGAGGAAGAGCTCAACATTCTGTTCAGAACCAGCTGCTCCTGGGAGGCCTGTCAGTCTGCCAATCTTCCGTCTTGGGTTGTCCAACAACTGATGCAGAGTCAAACTGCTTCTGATGCTATAGGTGGATATGTGCCTGGCATGTGCCATCAGGTTGCCTCCAAGGTACGACAATCCTAACCTGGTTTTTTCAAATAGGTGAAATGTTCTAGGAGTAGGTTTCCACTGCTTTCTCTCTCCCGTGGGATCCCACCGGAGGTTTGTACCCGGGTGCTACCCAATCCCGCCACTATAGAAATGATGAATGTTGACCTCTGGCTCTTTACATGCAAATAGGCAGGATCAAACATCGCGTCCCACCTTGAGACTTGGGGTGCGGGGGTGGGAAGCTGGCAGTCCTGGGTGTTCCTGAGGAGGGAAAGGACCCCCCCCCCTCTCCAAGGCAGCCAGACGATTAAAGACGCGCTTACGGCCGGGGATGATTAAAGCGGAGGAGCAAAGTTGCACGTGACATTTTCAAAAACTTTCGAGCAGGAAGCTCTGCTCGACGGCGGGCGGGGTGGGGAGGAGCGGGGCCTTTTGGAACAATAGCGTTCTTTACCGAAGGGGCAACCGATTTAAATCCGAAATTTATCATAAAAGGGCCCGCTCTTTGTTTTGGTAATTTCAAGGGAAATCGCAGAACAGCGAATACCGGAAAGCTACCTCCCGGAGCTGCCACTTCCTCTGATAACAACTCTCCAACTCGCTTCTAGTTTTATTAACAATTACAGAGAAAGAGAGCGGATTCTGTTAAGTGCGTAGCTTGAAAAAGAGAGACTCGAGCTGCCCGGAACATTTGACTTCTCCCGAGAAAGCGAACTCTGTGTGTGTGTGTGTGTGTGTGTGTGTGTGTGTGTGTGTGTTTTCTCTTTAAATTCCCTAGGTGTTTCTGATGAATAGGGTGGGTGCCCGGGGTGGGTCGGAGGACTGCCGTTTATACGTTTGCGAGTTCGACTCGGCTCCCAAGTTTCTTCCTTTGAATACGCCAAATGGGGTCAGCCAAAGGGGAGGGGAAGTTTCAATAAAGATCTTTTAAAAAAGTTTTTTAACGTTTTTTATATGGCAGAGTTTCTGTCCCATTTTGAAATTTTTCGATTCCGTAACGTCACGCTACCAGTAGATAAGACTGTTTCCTTCCCTATTTTCATTATCGACGGTTTCCAGTCCAACCCTTTGTGTGATACAGATGTATCATCTGTCTGTCTAGATATGTATGTATGCTTGTTTGTGTCTCTGAGTAGAAAAACAAGCAAACCCAAATCTCTCCCGGTTCTTTTTCAACCCCTCTCGTTTCACTGAGCTTTCCCTCCATAATGCCCACCTTCCCTTGATCAGCAGCCATATCCTCCACCGAATCGTTTGTAATTTTTTAAAATCTCCCTCCTTCAATCGCCTCCGATTTGCACGCCTCCCAATTTATTTTCCAGCTCTGAGACTGGTTCTCTTCCTCTCCTACTTTCCCACACACACACACACCCCTTAATATTTTTGCACGGTGTCAAGCTTGGGAGTTTACACACATTCGCCTCCCCTTTTCTGCAGCCTCCCTCCCCAGCCCCATCAGAGGAAATATTACAATGTTGCAAGCTGACGTAAGGACATTACAAGGAAAGGGCTACATTTCGGAGTGTTTATGAAAAGCCTCGGTACTGTACTGTCACCAGGGGGCATGCCATAGAATGCATTTCGTCCAACATTTGGAATAATGATCATTTAACAACCACTACTACCGTAACTACCACGACCAAAAAAAAAAAAAGCGCCTCCAGCTTTGCTCTCTGGAGCCCGCGCCAGCCGGAGGAGCCATGCAGCCAAAGTTTCGGGGACCCTTGGTTATTTTTTTGACATTGCAAGCTCGTCCTTGAGGATCGCTTCTTGGATTCTCGGCGTTTTGTTTTGCCGCCTTCATCTTCTTCTTCTTTTCCTTAAGCATTTCCACCTCTCCCGCCGTCTCCGGGCCTGGCAGATCTGCTTCCCTTTGGCAAACAGAGAAAATCAGGAAAGCTCCCTAGCAGCGAGAAGCCGCAGCAAGACGCCCTGCCTGCCTGCCTGTCTCCGCCGCGCTCACTCGCTCGCTCCTCGCTCTCGCACACACATACAGCTCGCTTGCCTTGGGAGTCCAGTGTTGTTTTGAAGGGAGCTAACATGGCGACGGTGCCCGTCTATTGCATCTGTAGGCTGCCCTACGACGTAACCCGCTTCATGATCGAGTGCGACGCCTGCAAGGACTGGTTTCACGGCAGGTAACACAAAGCGATCGGGCCTTCCAACCCTCCCCCCCCTTTTTTTTTTCTTTTTTCTTTTTGCTCTGGGGCAGCGATCCCCCTCCTCTCGCTCGGGGCCTTTCGCCTCTTTGGCTCGCTAGGGCACCGAGAGCGAGCGGGCGAGGCAGGGAGAGACTGGAGAGCGAGGGAGAGCGAGCGAGCGAGCCCGCGAGAGAGCGAGCGAGACACACACAGAGAGAGAGAGCCCTTGGGCTTTGGAGCTGCCGCCGCCGCCGCCGCTCTGTGCAGTTTTCCAACAGGCCTTTTTGGAGGAAAGGAGGAGGAGGAGCCACTCTTCCCCTTTCTCTCTCTCTCTCTCGCTTGTATTTTTTTGTTTTGTTTTGTTTTGTGAATTGTTGAGCCTGGCAGCACACAATGGTCTCCCCCCCCACGCGGGGGCCGTAGTGTCAGGGGGCTGCGGGGGGGTCGTAATGGGGGACAGCTATTGTCCTTTCCTCAGGGGAGGGAGGGTCGGCTGGCTTGCGCTGAGGGCTCGCTCGCTCGCTCGCTCTCGGTGCTTTTATCGTGCTTATGATTTTCGCTCCCGTTTTCAGGCCCGCGGCCAAACCCACCCTTCTCTCGGGGCTCTCACTTCGCCAGGGAGGGGGGGTTGTCATGGAGAAGATTTAAGGTTGGACGCGCGCGCCCCCCGCCCTCGGACACTTTCTGCAAAGAAAGCATGGGGAGCGCGGGGCGGGGGTGGCGTCGACCCCCAACGGTTCCACTGTGTGTCTGGGGGAAGCGGGAGCAGCCGGCCGGCCAGCCGCGGCGAGGGGGTCTCTGTGGAGCCGGCGGCAGCCGCGGAGGCTCCGGCAGCAAAGGCTGCTCTGGGCGAAGTGTGGCTGGTGGAGAGCCCCTTCTCCCTCTCTCTCGGTCTCCCGCGCTATAGGGCAGCCACTCGCCTATCGTCTCCCTAGGGGAGGAGGAAGCACGAGAGGGGCGGCTGGGGGTGTTTCCTCGCCCTGACAGGCAGACACGGGGCGGGCAGGCGGGCGAGCGAGTAGGCGAGCGGGAGAAGTGAGGGGTCCCGAGTGAGGACGGAGCTCTGGGCAGACAGCGAGCCAAGGCTGGGCAAGGCCTCCTTCCTCCACCACCACCACCGCCACAGCGGAGCGGACAAGCGGGGCAAAGGGAAGGGGATTCCCCGCCGCGCTGAGCACCAGAAACCGGGCGCCGCTTTGCCTCCGCGGGGCTGTGGCGCGAAGAAGCGGGTCTAGTCTGTCGCGCCGCGCGACCGAAGCCCGCGGGCTGAAAGGGACCGCGGGCCTCCGAAGGCGCAGGTCCCTTCTCCGCGCCTTAAGAGCAGGGCTGCGCTGCGGAGGGGCCCACAGAGAGTGCCACGTCCTCCTTTTACCCTTTGGGGGGCCCCGCTTTTGTGGGGCTTTTTGGGGGGGAACCCTAATCCTAAAAGAAAAGGTGGGCTTCGCTGGGTGAGCGAAGCAACAGGAAGGTCACATTGCAGCTCTCTGAGATGGTGGCGGCGGCCACCACCACCCCCGCCCCTCAGCCCTAGCGGCAGTCGCCAGAGGCGGAGGGAAGCTTGTCTTTTAATTCGCCTTGTCCTCTGTCGGCTGTGGAATCCGAGACAATGTAGCGCGGAGGGGCTGGAAACTCCCTCGGCCACACGCTCAGCCTCGCGTTTGATTTGTATTTGATTTGGGAAGGCGGAGGGAGGAGAGGAGAGGGAGGAGACACAGAAAGAGGAGGGCCGCCGCCGCCACCGCCGCCTCTCTCCCGCCCTCTTCCCCCCCTCCGTGCGTCGCTCTCGGCCCGGCCGCCTTTGTCGCGCTCCTCCTTGTCTCTGAGGATCACTTCACGTCCCTCGAGTGGTTCCGCGGGTCTCGTTCCGGGCATTTCAAGCTGACGGCCCCGGATTTCCACGGGTGTGCGAGGGTTTGTGTGTTGCCTGCAGGAGACAGACGCGTCGTTCCCTCTTAAAAAAGGCAGCACCTCCCCTCCCCTCCATCCGCCTACCTCTCCAAAAGCCCGGCGCTCCAGGGAAGACGGGGTGGAGGGACTTCGGCGGCATCTCCGAGGAGGCGTCCAGACTTTTTTCATTTATTTATTTATTTTGGTTGCTGTCGCGTGTCTTCAAGTTTTGCCCCTTCAGACTTCGGGAGTCGAAAACGTGGAGTTTTGTGGGAACGGAGCAGCCTTCGGTGGAAGCACAGCATTCTATGTGTGTGGGGGGCACCTGGCTGTGGGGAGGGGCTGCCAACATTAAGCCCCTTAAGGAATTGCAGGGCTTGCCCCTCAATCTGCTTCTCCTACTAGTGGACTGGACTTTTAACATGTTAATGTTGTCCGGGTTTAGAGACAGATTTTAGTCATACTTAGAGAGTAAACTCATTGAAATCAGTGGGAGGGAAAATAGTTTGGTTCAAGTCGTACTAAATTGCCATGAGGTCTGCTTTCTTCAGTATGATTAAAGTCTGGCTCTGGTTTCTTGTGCTGAGGTTCAATTGAGGAGTTTTAACAGGGAGTGCATGTGGAGACTTTCTCTACTAAATTAGTTCCTGGCAACATCTTTTCTTTCATAAGGCTGAATTGGATTCAGGGTTTGGTTCCTTGGGAGCATCAGAGAAGATGTCAGACCGTTCAAGGACAAGGGTGAATAAAGGAACATTAGTTTAACACTGTCAAGTTAACAGTAATGGCGATTCTATGTTTGCTTTCATGATTTTTAATATTTTTGCATTAGCCTGTAACTATCTTGTTCACCAGCATGTACTGTGTGTATTGTGGAAATCTGTGATAGAAAGAAGTGAAACACTGTTGGCAGAAAAATGATAGGTTTGAAGGAAATGATTTTTACCTGTTGGATGTTGGTTAAAATGTTAGGCATGAGACAGTGAGTCCTGAGATCGCGTACATCCCTGAAACTCAGTGGGCCAATCACCATCATTCAGATGGACTTACTCCGAGCGCTGCTTATGCCCATGTGTGAGGAATCAGGTAGATTTCATGGGGGAAGGACAGCTGTAAATGAAGGGTAGAGAACAAGACACCTTCTGGATGTTTTTGACTACAAGTCCCACCTTCCACAGGTGACATGGCCAGTGGTGAGTCCAAGGGATCCTAAGAATCATAGTCCAGCATGTCTGGAGGATACCAAGATATGTAAACAAATGTGTTAAATACTGTTAGTATCTTTATAAGGACTGTCTAAAATAACTTTATGCAGCAGATGTATTCCAGAACCTAGAGAGGAAAAAAGAAACAGCAGCCTTTCTTCTGAGAAATATGGACAGACCTAATAAGGTTAAAGCATTTTTCAGCACATACTGTTGAGGCTGTAAATCATTATAAACGATGAAAGGCTTTTTGTACCCTGTTATTGGTGATAAGATAGCCTCAGCCTAATCCTGTTCAGGATCTGGTACACCTGAGTACTGTACTTTCAGTGGACAGACTAATGCTGCCAAGTGAGCTTACTAAATCAGTTGAGGTTTACTTAACAGAAATCAGATGTAACTTATGTGTGCGCACATGGTGTGTGCGCACATCTCTTCACATACTTCATCTTGAAAATGTTAACAAACATATGTGAAGATTTGCCCACTTTCTCTCAAAACGGTATAAATATAGATGCATTATGATTAAAGGTAAGGAATTTGTTGGCATGTGGTAGTTTTTACTTTTTTTTCCACCTGTGCAAGAAAATGTCTCACTTGTATACTTATTTCTCTTTTCTGTCATCTAGGTCCTCAAGGTGGAAGTGATAATGTGCAAGAGATACAGTTAAAACACATGTCTTTTCTCTTGCTGAGAAAAGCTGTGAATAAATACTTAGGCTTGTATCCTGTTGCTTAATTGCAGAACAGAGTGGAAATTGTGTAACTATTCCCTGCCTCTCCCCTCTCTGCTTTTGGAAGGTTACCTATTGTTTGTCTGTTATTGCACTGGTTGCAAGATTGGTCATGCAGCTGGTTATGCAGTGGGGAGCCTGCTGGAGGGGGCAGGGAGAGGAATGCTTAGCACAATTTGTTTTCTGCTATGCATTTGGGTAATAGAATACTAGCTTTAGATATTTTTGCTCCTATATAAAGGGACACGTGGTCCTCCAGATGATTTTTTGCTCCTATATAAAGGAATATGTGGTCCTCCAGATGTTTTCAGACTGCCACTGCCATCATCACTTGTTATTGGCTATAATGATTAAGGCTGATGGGAGCTGTGAGCAAAAAAAAATAAAAATCTAGAGAATTACAGTTGTACACCTTGTTGTATCCAGTGCACTTCCCCCTTTCAATGGCTAGAATTGTGTTATTTGCATTCACAAGCACAACACAAACAGCACCATTTTTCAAGGTGAACTGCCTCAAGTTCAGAAATCACTGCAGACGTTTTCAGTCCCTGTTGCGTATTGAGTCATGCAGCTGTCTGTGTTACATCGGTATACAATCCCAATATGATTCTGGCTTGGATATTTAAAAGACAGATGTAATATGGCTAACAGATTTGTTTCATGATTGTAATCCTTGAAAGCTTGCACTGAAATGCACCTGTTAAGTCTCTAAGGTGCTGCAAGACTTCAAGTTTTGCTTCTTTTTTTAATGTATACTGAAGCAGACTAACATGGCTAGCACTTTGAAAATACAGAATGATTTATATGTAATGCGAGATGTGAGAATTATTCTTCTGAGGGCTGGGCATGATGCAGCGCCTTTTGATATAATCCCATGAGTGTCTTATGACTGACCAGGGGTGTATTTGGGATGAGGTTTGCCCCTGCTGAGTCCATCAGGTGCCCATGTCTATTTCTATGCTGGTTCTACCCATTTTTGAGGGGTTTGGGGGTCACAAAGTTTGGGAGTTTTTACAACCTCAAATACTGCCTGTGGTTTGTTTGGATGGGAAGGATCTTTCTGGGCTGGGTAATTATCCAGCAATAACCAATTATTCCTATCTTGCCTCTGAATTCAAAGAGAGACCCACCTCTCTGCTCTGTGTCTTTCCCTCTCTTGAGTCTATTGAAGTATGTTGTTGAAAGCAGTTGTGTTTGTCAGTTTACTGTTGATCTGTAAGTAAATGAAACATTTTAATCCTTTCTGCTCTTAATGTCTCAGAATGTGTCATTGAGACTATAAGTACCAGTTAATGAGAAAAAGGATGGACTGCACTGATGAACTTGAAGCTATTCTGCTCTGTGCATCCCTGCACTTATTCTGTGCAACTAAAGGAATTTAACCAACAATTCAGAACGCAAAGTTGGGTCATGCATGCAAAATGTAAAAGCATATAGCTATATGTACTTGTATTATATGTGCATCTTATGTATAGTGAGGAAGGACTGGTTTATTGCTCCATTACAAGTAAATGGAGGCCAAGGATTCTGTGAACTGGTCCAAAGTAACATTTAAGCATTTTTTTTTGGGAAAAAAGAGAAATGTCTGTTATCTGTTAACTTTACATTCTGCTTATTCTCTTTCTTTTTCTGTTTGTGGTTATGCACATGTGGGCCTGTACTTGTATACCTCTGGATAGTCTAGCAATGAGGGTAGACGTCCTTTAAAAATTATACTTATGTGAAGTATCAGAACAAATAAATTTGCAGACATTGGTGAGATGGTGGGCATAACTTTTCTTGTTTGTGCTAATTTCAGTATTATAAATAGTAAATAATGATAATGATGGTATTGTATTCGCGAAGGTATTGTATTATTTACAGATATTTTAACTGATTACAGAAACTTGTCAGCAGGCTGCTGTGTGTGCACAGGAAGTTGAAAGATATAATTGAAAAAGAAAAAAGATGAAGGAAACTCTTTAATATACAGTATATATTTTATACAGTAATTTTTTTAGTCACTCAGGTAAAAGCTGTACTGTATAAATATAAGATAGAGTGATGTGTAATTATAATCAATTTAACTGATGAATGGGAAACTTACTTGGAAGTATACTTGATGATAGGTTTTAAAAAGCCATGTTTTTATGATCTATAAACAAATCCAGAATTCTGTTCACATTAAATCTGAAGATAGCATTTGGTTTGTGAATGTTTATATTATAAGCTTTATACATTAATGGACTTAAAACAAGGAGAAAGACCAAGCACCATCTGGAAATAAAAAATAAAAAGAGGGTCATGTAGCTTTTGGTGCACTGATGGAAGCTGCTTCTGTGTCTGTGTGTCTGAAAACCCTTATTCGAAGGTTTGGGAAACTCTCTGGAGCAGGCTTTCTGGTCTACGAAAAACTGGAAGGAGAAGCAGATAAAGATCTCAACACTGCTGTTCACGCTGCATTAAAATTAGGCCACACTTTTCAGGACATACAAGTCAGGGCTTGTGGATTCATTTTGTTAGTGCTAGTTATTGAAGAAGTTTATTGTCTTAGGGAAAGTCATGAGGAAAAAAAAAACCAAGTGAAATTTTGAACACTTCCAGTAATTCAGATTTACAGTTGGCTGATAATTTGATAAAAACTTCCCACTTTATTGGAGGGTCTTAAGGAATAATGGCCAGAATCCTGTTGGTATTTCTGTCAGGTTTGTGTGCCTTGATGTGCCTAATTGATGAAGTGCTTGGGTATGTCTTGGTAGCATGCCTGATCATATGCTTGACTGCATTACCAAGATGCACTCCAGCACCTTGTCATTTAAATGCAATTAGCCATGGTAAGTTATGGAGACCTTATGCAAACACCAGCAGGACTCTGGCTGTTGTGTCAACAGCAATATAGACAATTCATAGTATTTCATTTTGTATTCTGGGTTGGTACTAATTTGTAGAGCTGGAATAAGTTCATTGTCAACTCCTGCTGAAATTCTGGATTACTTGTACACATTTTGGGTTCAGAGATTTCTGTAACAATGACAACTGAGTGTAGCTGAAAAACAATAGCTCTTGGGGCTTTAGTAGTGATTAGTCTGTTTCATTTGTTTCAGTGGGACATGTAGCCTGATCATACACACATGTATTCCCAGTAAATATTCATAGGATTCCAGGCCTAGAGAAACGTTTAATAGTGTAATAAAGACATGACTTTTGGTGGGATTATTTTTTGTAGAATAAGAATTAATACAGAACAATATTATATCTTGTACCTTGCATTGTTATCTGTACAGTACTTTCATCTTTTAATTTCAGTATCAGCAGCTAAAAACTTGTGTTATTAAACAAATGTGTCAAGTATTTTGAAGCCAGTTTGATATTATTATTTGTATTCCAGATTGGATTTTCACTATGATAAAAAATATTTTAGAACAAATTTTGCAAGTTTTCAAGAGTATTTTTTTTTTTAAAAAAAACACCTTGAAATCTAGATAGGAAATTGTAATAAACAACAGATTTTAGTCCTCTAA